GACTTTGCGTGATGTGATTGAGCATTTATGGTGGGCGGAGGCTGGAAATCACTGGCCGACTTGGCGTTTTTGTGAATCCTAAGCTGTGTCTTGTGTTTGGCCTGGCCAGTCTGGGCAGACGTTTCTACTTCAAAAGGCTGGTTGTTGGTAGCCTCGACCTTGTCTGTTCTGTGTGTTCAAGCGATTAAGGCCGACCGGACACCTCGATCTCTCTTCCGGTCACGTTGACGTTGTTTTGACAAGCAAAGAAAAGTCTTCGAAGAACCAGTTGTTTCTTAATTGTTGAGTTTGCTTCCATTTCGAGGGGAAATGTTTGGTGATGAGATTTGACGGTCGGTCCCACCAGAAGACGGCGGGGGATTCCTCTCGACCAGCTGTCGATTGGCTTTACTGGATATTCCTGTTGAAGCTGTTTCCGAGGGTATTTTATTATCTTTCGCCCGTCACATGACGGACATCATCAGAGTACGGTATCAAGCATATTCAAGCTAACGAGTCATGAAAACTCATCGGCTCATCCACAAGTGCTGTATATATACTCTATCTCTCTATACTTTAAATATAAGCTCTTCACTTGATAATAATTACCCTTTAGGTCTTATTGAGAAAAAAACATTAGATTAATAATGAATACCTTTTGAATGGTGAATACGTAAGGAAAGATGAGGAGCCCTTTTCCCATGTTTTGTCTTTGCCCTGGTGCATTCTCTCCAAACAGGTAGGCAAGCTAATAATAAAGTGGGGAATAAAAACGGATTTCAGGGAAACCATGACATATTCTTCAGTTATACCCACTTTTAGAGAGAAAGTTTACATTCTCCAGATAGGGTTGCTTTAAAATACTGTTTTTGGTGGCCGCTTTTATGTTGGAATGACTTGTCGTCCCATTCGACAAAGGTTGGCTGAGCAGAAAGTGGACACGAGATTGCTAATTTTTGTATATCTGAGTCTAAACGTAAAATTAAATAGGCCATTCAAATACCTTGAAAGTAAGGAAAGAAGTTAAGTCAAGTCTACTTGTGCCTACTTCATAAACTCAAGGATAGAAAGGGTGTAAAGCCGCTGAGCAAAGGGGGCTACTCAACTAGTATTTCTTGTTTTGCATATGTAAGTAGAGTTTCGAGACTACCAGTAATATGAGGTGTATTTACCTATTTCGTTTAAGATGATAAAGGTCTGGTAGTATAATTTTCCCATAATGATATGAGTAGAGCTGACGTTTCCATTCAATTTAAGATAGCCCTGTTTGCCCAAAAGTTGTTCTCATCCAGGGTGGACTGCAGCTTCGACCTCGTATAGGTCTTATCAACACACCCAGCGGGAGTCGAACCGTGACAGAGCAACATGTGAGTTTGACACGCTAACCACTCGGCCATATTGCCACGAGTGCCCTTGAGTCACAGGGCAGATGTGAATTTTCAAGGAAGGCCAGACCTTTTCCCATATCACATTCTTTGGTGGGGTTGTCGATGGAGCAAACGTATTTTTGCTATAACAATCGACTACGTTACTTATTTTTCGTATATAAGTATGTCCTGGTTCTACTTACGGTTACTTTTGTACTTTTTAGTCCACTCTTTTTCTCTCACATGAAGGCTAGGATTTCATCAACATAGTCAGATGTGTTTCCGACTGCGCACCCGGAGCGATGGTCAAAATATAAAGAAAAAGGGATGTTCGTGGTACACACACGCACACACACACACTTACATGCTTTGAGATTGGCATATGGCTTGAGCTAACAGAATCACTGTATTCCTCGTCAGAGTTTAAGTTTAGGGATGAGCCGGTGAATTTTCCCGACTTGTTAGCTTGAAAATGGCGGCAAAAATAATATCCTCCCTGCTCCGATGATGTCCTAAATCTAAGCGAGTTGCCTCGGCAATAGCGCCAACAAGAACGCTCCGGTAAAACTAATCGATAACTGAACAAGAGGAATCCGCTGTCGTCTTCAGGTGGGATCGACCTTTGAATCTTCACTAAACAGCTTCACTTGAAATGAAGATGAGCTCAACAAATGAATCTGTGTCGGTTGGAGCAAGAAGACAGTGGTCTCGGCTTTTTGGGAGCGATTTTATCGGAAGCTGATCTCTTCGACGAGTCGGGAGAACCCATGAAAGCGCCATTTGATGCGGCTTTACGCGTTGAAGGGTCGGGGGGTTGGGCAGACGCCTTGGCGACGTCTTGACACCGACCGCGAGAGCGCCTTTGGCGGCAATCAGAGTCACAGCTGGACTGCTCAAACCGGTTGCCACGAGGAAGGTCTAGACTGAATCGGCCCTCGGGCAGTGCTCGGCAAGCTCAGGTGCCCGGTCTCGAGTGGGCAGCCGGACTTGCTGGACAGGTTGTTTCTTTTGCAGATTTTCGGCTTTTCGGCTCTTCCAAGTGGGCTGTAGATTGGCCGAGGGGAAGCCTCGTAATGTGCTTGCCACGACGATTTTGCAATAGTTTGACTTTTATTTTGTTTTATTCATTTTAATGCATCTTCATTTGCTCCTTTTTTCTGCTTTCTGCTTTGCTATTAAGCCCTGACGATTCCACTCTTTCCTCTGATGCTGGTGCGCTTTCTTGGCCTGGATAGGCTCACCTCCAGTCTAGGCAACATCAATCTGGCCAAGGGCATTGCCTGCATCGTGGGGCCTCTGATCGCAGGTACTTGCGTGCGACGGATGAGTTGAGTTGGTCCTTGATGCTTACCGTAGATACCTTTCGACTAGCTGTCCGATCCGAACGAGAGGCCTCCGCTTACCACCTCACTCCGCCTCAAGGTGGTCGTTTGTCCCTTACCGGACAGTCTATTGGCAGATTCAGCTCGTGCCATGTTGCAAGTGCACACACACAAACACCAACAAGCCTAGGCTTTGTCCAATGCTTTTGGCAGTAAGAATGATGCATCAGTACCATTTGGAGTGACCTGGAATCGGAGCAGATTTATTTGGTTTGTTCGACGTTTACCCATCAAGAATTTGGTGTGTCTGCTATTCAGTGCAAGCGTGAATGTGTACGTGAGCGTGGGTTGGCGTGTGCATGTG